TTTTTTTTTTTTTTTTTTTTTTGGATACACAGTTCACAACAAAGACAATTGGTGAATTGATGAATTAAGTTTAACCAACATTAAGAATAAATTTATCATAAAAACAACATAAAAAGTGAGGCACACACAGACATGGGCTTTGCATGAGCAAGTCCCACACCTTATACAGAAAACAACCTGTACCCAGAGTGAAGTTGTTCCCACACTTACAGCAGGATTGTGCTCTGATGGGCTCATCATACTTTAAAAACAGGAGTTGAAAATTTGTCTGTTACCAGGGGAAGAGATAAAGAAACTGTGATGTACCATTACCATAAAATACTGCTCAGTAACAAAATGAGAAGATTGTTGATGGACAGAATAGCATGGAGGAAACACAATAGTTGTACAGATTAAAACCAGACTTCTGAAGAGTGTCTACTGCATACAATTTTAGAAAATTCATTATGATGGAAGGTGGGTCATTGCTACTGGGAAGGGGAAGAGGGGAGGGAGGAGGCAGAGGGGCTGCTGGGAAGGGGAGGGAGGGAGGAGAAATAGTGGTTTGGGGAAACTACTCAGAAAATATGTATACTTTATGTATTTTTTTATTTATTGCCTTGATGGTGGTAATGGTTTCACAGTTGTATACATATGTGATATTATTAAATACCATGTTAAGAATACTCATTTATATGACAACTACATTTCAACTAGGCCATTTGAAAAGATTCAAGGAAAAATAATGAAATAAATACAGGGAAAGGTGCTGTGAGCCATGGAACAGTGAGGCCTGGAGACTTCTAAGATGGAAAAGACCAGACAGGACTAAGAGTAACAAGGCTGTTTTGAGGAAGAAGGGATGAAGGGAGGGAAGGAGATAGAGGAGAAGAAGAAGGAGGAGGAGGAGGAGAAGAAGAAAGAAAGAGAGAGAGAGAGAGAGAGAGAGAGAGAGAGAGAGAGAGAGAGAGAGAAAGGAAAAAATAAAGAAAAGAAGAAAGACATTTGTTGCACCATAACCAACCGATTTGTAAAGAACCCATCACCACATCTTTGAGTTCAAGTCAACAGGTTTTTTGTTTTTTGGTTTTTTGGTTTTTTTTTTGGCTGATATGCTGAGGCTGAGGAACTCTAAAGCAAAGGAAGTTTAAATTCTATATGATCTGGGCCTCAAACAGTTAGAGGCTGGGGTCTTCCAAAAAGTCTTACCTACTTGCCTGGATGATGACTGGCCTCAGTTATGAGTAGAAGTCTTATTGGGAGCAATTTCTGAATTTGTACAGTTAAAGAGAACTTGATGATCTAGAAGGTATTCCAACATGGTAGCTAGCAGATTTCACCTTGAAGGAGTCAATGAGCCAGGGAGATGCTTCATCTCCTTAAGACCAAGGTTTAGAAATCACATAACATCACTTCCTCCATTCTAGATGTCAGTGGTTCTTCACAGCTCGTGAGACCTCAATTGTTCCTGTGGCTATCTTTGATGAATATCACATAGCACTTACCATTCTCATTATTAAGATATATCCCAGCCATTCAAGAAAGATCAGGATCACAAGGGAACCTGATGGTTAAAAGTATGTAAGTTCTGGCCTAAGGCAGCCATTCAGTGTGTCCTTAAATAGCGATTCATGAATCAATAGACTTGACTGCAGTTCTAGCTATACCATTTGTTAACTTTTAATGTCTTTCTACCATATTCATGGTTCACTTCTGGAGCAATAATCCTTACCATATTGTTTCAGTTAGAAGATTCAATGAGATAATGGACCTTAAATGCTGTTCACAGTGCTTAGCTCTCTATAAAGCTAAACTGTGTTGTTACTTACTGTTGTCTTTTTCTCATTCATGGAGCTAATTATATGATTAAGAGGACCATATTCTCCATTTCAGTAGTCACAATCCTTTGCCATGAAATGGGGCCAACTTTCAAATTTTAAAACAGATACCGGAGTTTAGTCTCAAGTGGCCTACTTGAGATGCTAGAGCATCCTGTAAGTTACTGACAATCTTAGTCTGGGAAACTCCATATAACAGAGCTTCAAATTCTGATGTCAAGTATCTTGGTGACTGAGAGTTGATTAAAATGGACATTCGCTGCATTTGTTTAATTCTGTCCCTCTTGTGGTGACCCACTCACTGCATAGAGAAATAGCATCTGCTCCCTTCTTAAAAGCTCACTGGAGCAATAACCCATGCCCGTTTTCTACTCTTCTTTAGTCTAGACATGTCTGATTTATAAGGTTCCCTTCTCTCCACAAAGGCAGTGGACTCAGCTAATAAGAGGAGTGGATGAAGGATCTGAAAGTTCCAAACAGGAATGGAGGAAGCAGAGGAGGAACTGCGGGAGCATCTCTGGGCACCCTGCCTATGTTCCCTCAGCACCTATTCTTGGCTCTGAATGGAAACTTTCTAATGATAGCTTTTATGGCCCCCAGCTGAATGTTTTTCTCTATTCATGAAAGAAAACCCAACATACTGGTGAGTTAGTTTCTCCAGAGTAGCTCTCCAACCAATGATGGCATAAGAGTTGATTTCCTAAGATTCTCACGGAGGGAGTATAGCTCAGTGAAGTCCTTATACAAGGACTCAGACAGGCAGACACACACACACACCACACACACACACACACACACACACACACACCTGAGACAAGTTCTAGGTTATGCTGTAGTTAGTATGGTTCAATAGAAGAAATACATGAGCTTCATATGTAATTTTGTATTTTCTGGTACTTGCATTAAAAAATATCAACAAATGAGATTAACTTTAGTAAAATTTTATATAACACAATCATCCAAAACCATTATCACTCCAACATGTAATCAACAAAGAAATTCTGTCAGATACCATGTCTAAATTATAATACTAAATCTTTGACACCCATGCATATTTTGTACCTGCATCTCAGTTCACATTAAGCAAGCACATTTAAGTCCTCACTGGCAATGTTTATATGGCTGGGATATTAAATAGTCTTATTCTAAACCCTCACCAACAAGTCTTCAATAGAGTTGAGCCTAGGATGCCCATGCTAGGACTTATCATGAATACATGCAGAATTGTCTGTCTTTTTTTTTTCCTGCCTTGATTCTTAGTCCTTTTCTAATACTTGCTGAGATAAATTCTCAAATTATCTATTTGTACTCAAAACATTGTCCCAGTATCCATACCTGAGAGAGTGAAAAACATTCTCTAAGACAAGAATGCCGCTTGATTTTTGTGAAAAGTAAATCCCAAGATAAATTTTTTATAGAAACTTCATTCCTTATATCCATGTAGTTTGTCTTATTTCTAAAAATCTGTCCTAGTTTAAATTGCATGAGTCCAGTGTTATTCTTAGTGATTCTCATGCATTGCCTTTCATGAAGTGTCCTTGGAGAATGTTCAGCCATAGGGACTATTCCTTCTCAGTCAGCATTACGTTCCCGTAGATCATTTGCTTCTCTGCTACAGGTACACATTTCTAGGCAAAGGGATTTGACTTCTTAAGTAGAGTTAGCTAATTACTCACATCATTGATTCATTTGAAAGAATTGTTGAAAGGAAAGAAGTCTCTACAAGGTAGAAGCAGCATTTGTGATCTGGAGTATTATTGTTTCTGATTCCAGTTCAATCAGATTTCCAGGGAGTTCTGCTGTCAACATCTGGATGAATCTGACTCAATGGCCCATGATGCTAAGACAGAATGGATATGGGGAGCTAGCTTCCGTCTCCTAATATTTGAGTGTTGAAACCATGGGAGACTCATGTGCCAGATGGTCCATAGCACTCCAGCTGGCTCTGCCAGACATTGGTGTGCAGGTTGACTTTATTCTAATCTCACAGTTCTTGTATGTTGGTCTGCAAGATGAGTCAAGGATCTCACCTAAGACCCATTCACTTCTGCCTTCCCTCCACTGTGTATCACCTCTTTTCAGAGAAGTTGGGAAGCTAGAGAGATGATTAAGAATACAACTGACCTAGTGAAGGTCTACTTGAATTTTTCAACCTAATAACAGATGCTATATCTAAATGCAACGAAGTGCTTCTCAACTGGCTCTCTCGGTGATTTGAATTCTGATGTGAGGATTCTGATGTTTCTGCAGATGGGATAATATCAGCCACACACATTTCAGAACTACCAATGCAAGACTTGGGGGATAGACAATACAACTGATTGATGTGAGGGGACTCAGGTCTGGCTTATTATACCTCTTAGCATACGAGACTCCAACTGGGCATTCACTTGTATAGATCACTGGATGTGCATAAGTTTATTTCATACAACAACAGACAAAGAAAACTTTCATTATGGAGGCTTCAAATAGTTCTTGCTTAAATCATAGAGGCAGAATTTGAATCCAAGTGTGACTTACCCCAAAGTGCATGTGAATAACTATTTGCTCTGGTCTCCAGACCTGTAGAGCAAATGGAGGCATACATATCTCAAATGGAGTTGATAGGTCTTCAAGGTGACACTCTGCACTTAAGAGGTGAAAGAAGAAAGCTGGCTTAAACACTTAGAATTTCTTTTTTTAAAAAAATTTTTTATTGGATATTTTATTTACATTTCAGATGTTATCCCCTTATCCCATTCCCCCACCCCCACACACACAGGAAACCCCGTCCCATCCCCCCTCCTCCTGCTTCTATGAGGATGTGCCCCCACTACCTCCCCTTTCACCTCCCCACCCTCGAATTCTGCCCCCACTGGGCATCCAGCCTTCATGGGACCAAGACTCTCCTTTCCCACCTATGTCGACAAGGCCATCTTCCCCTACATATACAGCTGGAGTCATAAGTGCCTCCCTATGTGCTCCCAGGCTGGTGGTTTAGACCCTGGGAACTCGGGTTGATTGGTATTGTTGCTCTCTTCATGGGGCCGAAAACCCTCTCAGCTTCTTCAGTCTTCTCTCTTAACTCCTCCATTAGGAACCCTAGAATTTCTTTTTAGCTCTTTAATCAGCCAAAATTCAGGCATGGCAAATGATTCCCCGTGTCCTTCCATCTCCATGGGCACACACTGTTTACTTGGTCCAATCTGAGCCAGCAGGGCTCTAGCTACAAGTGTCACACAACACTGCTCCCCTGGGAGAGGGAAGAGTATCCATAAAAGTAGGAGGTGGCCATCCTCATGGCTAAGCTCCAGAGTGCAGCCTTTGCCAGATGCAGGCAACCTAAATAGTGATCATCAAGAAAGCCCGTGACATTGTTTTCAAAGAAAACAAAATCAGCTTCTTCAGCTCCCTTCAGACCAAGAGGGAGTATCTCCCCTACTGAGCCTCAGGTAGAAACCTTTGCATAGACCTCATGTTTATCAGTGACTTTTATCTGAACATCCAGTGGGCATCAGGAAATGATCAAATACTTATGAATTTCACCCATGCTCTTATATGCAGCAAGCTCCCTTATCCACCAAACTCCTGCAGTTTATAATAAAAAAAAATGTTAGTATTTGGGGGTATTATAGTATCTCTAAATGTAGACAAACAGATGTCTTCGAAAAATCTCACCTAGACTGTAAGAATTTGTATTAAAGTCCAAATCACAAATTTGGATGGAGATTATCAAAACCCTTTTTGTAAGAAGCCCTGGTTTGAAGTTGCATTTTCATCTCTGGAGACTCTCACCTGGCCCCCAGGACAGAAGCACTCTTCAGAGTACAATGGCCTAGATCTAATGGTGAGATCACAATGTTTTGTGACTCCATGGGCTGGATATTTGTATGCAATGAACTGTTTGAAAGACCTCATTTCTGGTTTTGCTGAAACATTCTAACAGGTCAGCATGTGTGTCACACCTGTGATAGAAGTTGGAAGTCACTAATGTAGTCATTGGAAATATCTTCCACCCCGGCCACCATAATAACCTCAGCCGTGACTGACTTCTGACCACATAAAACCTAGCTCATGCCCCAAACCTTTGTAAACTGTAATGCCAAAAATTTTAATAGCATATCTATCAACTATATGTTTTTACATTGTTGTTTTGTTTCTTTCCTAATAATTGAGAGCGAAAGGGGGAGAAACAAGTTAGACGCAGTTCTATAGTATAATTTTAGAATTCTGGAATGAGTCAACAGCTGCTCAGAGAATAAGAATTAGGCATAGACCTATTCTATCTTGGACTTAAAGAAAGGGCCAGTGAAGCAAAAATAAAATATACTCTAAAATGAAATTCTCTCTGCTCTGCTCAGCACCAAGGATACAGGAGGGATTCTAAAAGAGATGCGCCCTTTGCTCACAGAATTTAGAGTTGGTTGAATGTGTATATAAATGTACAATAAAGACAAGAATAAAGGAGCAAGGTAATTCCAGATACAAGTGTTTTTGAAAAGCATCACTTATAGGCGTTTTACATTATCAGATTAGGGAAACATTTGCAGGGTGGGGTTGGAGGAGGTGGGGCTGAATTTAGTCTGAGAAACAAAGTAAAAAAAAGAAGACCCCAAACTAGGCAGAAATGTGATGGAGATACTGGAGTAGGGGATCGCAGCAAAAGTCCTGAGGCAGGAATCACCCTAGCTGTGGTTTAAAAATAAAATAAAATAAAATAAAATAAAATAAAATAAAATAAAATAAAATAAAATAAAATAAAATAAAATAAA